GAAACAGACACAGCCTGGCCCCGGTGGGATTTAATTTTTAGCATAACAGGCAAAATCAAGTTCATTCATAAATATCTAGTTTAAGTGCTGTAAGACCTAGCAAGGCTGTGGTGGGCCAGGATGGGTAGCTGTGGGGTTGACAGGGTGTTCTGTGAGGTTCCTTCCTGTGGGATGGTTATGGCTCTTAAATGTTGGGGACTAGAGTGAAGAGTTAATCTGTAATGGTGTTATTTCTCACCCTGTTCACTTTTATTACAGTTCCATTCTCTCTGCACATGAGACTCTAACTTCAACAAAAGTGTATTTGGGTAATCCGATATAAACTAAATTTAAACTTTGACCTCCAACAATAAAATTGCTACTTTCCCCTCTCTGAAGACCCAAAAGGCAGATGAAGGGCCTGCTAGCTTCACTTTCTGGGTTTCTGACTTCTAACGTGATTCTAAGCATCGCTCAGACCTATCTGGAGACAGGTTGGGCCTGTGGTGGGCAGCTAGCCCAGGGCCCTTCTCATTCTGGAGAGAAATCACACACTTTGGTTCTCGCAGTCTAGCTTCTGCTGTGTGATACTGCTGCTTAGGGCCAGGTTTCAGCTGAAAACACAAAATCCAACCACTGTCTTCCACTGTACGAAAATCTGTGCTGACTCCCATTTTGCAAGAACTGCTTTAATTCCGTTTGTGGGTCAAGGTTAAGTGTGGGCTTACTCCAATCTGCCCCACGTCATGCTCTAATTCTTATAGGTTATCTGACTTGGAAACAAAGGCAGGCAATTGCAGGTCCACGTGGGGCTGTCTGCAACCAAGGCCACTGCCTTCCCCTGCGCCTCCAGCCGCCGCCTCGCCTGCTACTGCTCATCTGCCATTTCCTGGATTCTGAGCACGGCCTTCACGTTGCTCAGGTTTTCTATCTACAAAATTAAAGCCTTGCTTTGACTATTTTTTTTTTAAAGAGAGAAATTAAATGTCACAGTCTGGACCAGAATAAGCAACCAAGCGTTCAGATTCAGGGGTGCCCTGCATTAATAACCGTTCACCGAGGAAGCATTTCCTGTTTATACACGGAGCTAATGAGAATCCATCATGCCTGTCAAATACACTGAACACCAAATTCAAATGTCAAAGCAAATGTAAGAGGTCACACATTTCCTTTGCTAACTAAAAGTGTAATTCATAAATATTATTGCTACCAAACTCTCCATCTACATCATTTGTTTAGAAATATGCACATGTAATATAAATTGTGATTAAGTTAAATGGGTATATTATTTCCTGTTTTAAGGGCTAACAGCAGCATGAATTATGCTTTACTGCAAAGAAGGCTTGAGTCATCAGCAGCTCTGCCTGAGCGCAGCTCCACATTTTACACCCCCAGGTTGGGTTTTGCACGTCCATTCATAAATACTTTACATTATCCGGCTCTGCTGATAACTTTCACTTCTTCAACTGCCTTATAAAATAGCTCTTACTGTTGCAGAGGTCAGCTAAATGGACATAAGCTTTGGACCTCACTACATTTAAAAATAAAAGTGAAAACCAAAACAGCTTTACAAAAGCTAGGGTCTTCAATTCCATCTGTAAGCCCAACTCCAGAATCCAAATTAGACTGAAGTTTCGCATCTGCGCATGAGTAGTGAGACATGGCAGTCAGAAGCAACCACATGCACACCAGGAAGGCGCCACAGCATTAGGGAGCAGAATTTCATTCCGTTTTGTCTACCATTAATTCAACTACTGTGCTCAGTTTTTTGTAAGTGTGTCCACGTCACTATTCACACTGTTTTAGAATGTAATGCTTTCCAGGAGACACAGGAAAGCAGAACAAACAGTGGGTTTTCATCTAAAACCCAAGAGTGACAAGCAGGGCATGCCGGAAAATGGACAGGACATGGAAGAGCAGCATCAAAGCTGACCGCTGCTGGTAATGCTCTGGCAGTTCAAGAAAGGAGTGCAGACTCACTCCCCAGTCAATGAAAATTCCCACCAGTGACCCAAATAAATATAAACACATGGGTAAGCCCTGCTCTCCCAGGCCGAGTCTGATGGAGCTGCTTCTACCGGCAGGCTGGGAGCTTAGCCCCAAGTCTCAGTATAGCAGAGCCAAGCCAGGCCCACAGCCAGGCAAGCCAGAGACCTCTTGCCACTATATCCAGGGACTCTTGAGCTGAGCCAGGGGGAGGAGGAGAGAGGGTGGGCAAGAGGGTCCCGAGTAAGTCTGACTCATCATTGGTTCTGATTCCTTGCAGACCTGCTGGACACCATCATGGCAGATGATTGTGCAATGCAAGCGACTTTGATGTCACAGACCGGGGAGAAGGCTAAGCTAGGCTTCTGCGAGAGATAACCAAGACAACTCCCAGCTTTTGAAGTCTGGTGATGATCATCTCAGGGACTCCAGCTTCAGAAGAGACAATTGACAGTCAACAGCGGTGCTTGCGTTTGTGGACATCACTATGACAGCTGCCGCCAAGCCCAGGGCAGGGGTGGCCCACGTCTCTCTTGCCCAGTGACTTCCCTGAAGGCTTACGCTGCAGGAGCTGATGTCTGCTTGTGAGGGTGCTGCTGCAGCATGAAGCTCCCACGGAATGTTTTCAGTTCGGTTTCTTCCAATACATTTTTCATGGCATTTTCCCCTATTGTAAGATAATTTGGGGGATGGAGAGATGGCTCCGCAGTTAAGAGTACTTGTTCTTGCAGAAAACTGGGGTTCAGTTCCCAGCTCCCAGATGGTAATTCACAACCATCTGTAACTCCAGTTCCAGGGGACTGGACGCCCTTTCTGGCCTCCACAGGCACTGCGCACAACAGATGCACACATGTACATAGATGAAGGCAAACACTCGTACATATAAAATAAACTTCAGTCATTTTTTTAAAAGCTAATATTCCATCATTGAGTAATCTGAAATAATATACCATCACATTTGTTACCTGTGATTTGAAGGTCAGTGAAAGAAAATGACCTTTCCACCACATTTTTTTATTATGGGAATTTACATAAGATGAATGCACTGCTTTTGACTGTGTGCTTGCTTTTGCAGTGTTGGGGACAGGACACATGGCCTTGTATATGCTAGGCAAGGGCTCTGTCACTGGCCTGTGTCTCTAGTCCTCTGCTCAGTTTTAATGAACATATGAAAACACAAGACAACATCCCACACCAACTTCCCAATCTCCCTAAAAATCGGCCTTGATTTGATTTCTGCCGCCACATATTTCCCCATTTTAGCCTTTCTTAGGTAACCTAATGATGCACTCTTTGAAATTCAGCTTCATTTACTCACATGCTTCGCATCCATTCATGGCATTGCATATCCCACATATTCTGCCATACGCGTTGGCATGCTGTTGCCCGACCGTGCCTTAGCGAGTGTATGTAGTTTTCACTGATGGACACATGACTTTCAATTTTTTGTTCTATTGTTGATTTGGGAGGGTTTTACTTGTGCTGGAGATCAAACCCAAAGCCTTGGCCACATTAGGCAACTGCTCTATCGCTGAATTACAACCCCAGTCCCATGAGTTTTGAAGGTAAGGGGTTTTTTGGTTTTTTTGTTGTTGTTGTTTTGTTTTGTTATTTTTTTGTTCGGTTTTTGTTTGTTTGTTTGTTTGTTTGTTTGTTTTGTAGCCCAGGCTAGCCTAGAAGTTACTGTGCAGTTCCAGTTTAGCCTTAAACTCTCAATTCCTCTTCTTTCTGCCTTCCAAGTGCTAGGATGATAAGCACGTAGCACCATGCTTGACCCACTTTCAGAATGTTGTGAATATTTTTATTCAAGGATTTTTATGGAAACTGACTTTTATTTCTCTGAGGTTAATATCTAGGATTAGAATTTCTGGGTCACAGGATATGTATATTTTTAACTTTTAAGAAAATGCCAGTTTCCCTGGGTTGTCATACCACTTTACACTCCAACCAGTAATGCACCGGCATTCAGTTCTTCCAAACCCTGCCCCACCTCCAGCATCGTCTCCTCACCTCAGCCAAGGTCATGTCAGTGTCCAGTGGTGACTCACTGTAATTGGACTTCCTGCTTCCTGCTCTAAAGATGTCAAACGCCTTTTCATGTGCTGCTGTGTTTATGCTTGTTCTGAAGGGTCCCTGTGTTGGAAGCCTAGTCTTCAGAGTGGCAGTGTAATAGATGGTAGAACCTATAAGAAGTAGATCCAAGTGGGACATAGTTAAGTCCCAGGAGCCTTGTCCTCAGATGGGTTCCGTACTGGCCTCACGGAGTGAGTGGGCTGCGCTCTGGGCGTGAGTTTTTGTAAAGGACCAAGTCTGACCTCCTCTTTGACGTCCTGTCTTCTCGCATGCACTCTCCCACACGTATGTTCCGGCCGTGATGATTCTCTCTCGTTGTCTGACATCACCAAAGTCCCCCTGCATCAGTGGGACTTCCCGTTGTGTCTTCCAGCCTCCCAGACTGTGAGCTGCCAAGGCCTCCCTTCCTCAGAAGGACCTGGCTTCAGAAGTGCGCTGACCAGCCATTTGTACGTCTTCTTTGACGGAGTTTCTATTCGAGTCATTTCACTCACTTTCAATGGAATGTTTGTCATTTGTTTAATTTTTAAAATCCATCCTATATTCTAAAGGAAGTCTTTTGTCAGACATACCTGTTGACAAGTTTGTGGCTTAGCTATGAATGTTCTTAACAGAGTCCGTTGAGCAGGGATGTCTAATTGTGACCGTTTATCCAGCTGTTTCAGCTGGCTAGAACTTCCCGTAACTTCTACCATTCCAAGGTCAAAATTATCCTGTCTTCCCTAATAATTTTATTATCTTAGGTCAGTGCAATGACTCACACTAAACTGACTTTATATATGGTCAGAAGTGGGAACATATATTAATACCCACATGTTTAATAGAGATTCAGCTGTATTTATACCATTTATTAAAGTTATTCTTTCACTGTTGAATTCACTAGGTACCCTTGTCAAAGTCACATGACCGTATATTTGTGAGTCTATGGGTAAAGTGTTTTATTCCTTTATCTACTTACGTGCTCTGTCACCAACGCCACACTGTCTTGATGACTGCAGCAGTATACAGTATAGTCCTTCTGGACAGGTCTTCTGTATTTGTCCTACTGTTTTCAATACCACTTTAACTACTCCAGTTTCTCCACCTTAAGAAAACAATATTTAAAATCATTGTCAAAGAAAATGCCTTCGAGTATCATTTAAGATTGATCAGTTTGGGAGAACTGGCATCTGACCTAATTGACTTTCTGTTGCTGTGATAAAACACTGACCAAGCCAGGCGGCAGTGGCACACGCCTTTAATTCCAACACTCGGGAGGCAGAGCCAGGTGGATCTCTGTGAGTTGAATTTAAAGCATTTTCTAATTCCTTCTGTGACTTCTTCTTTGACCCATGATGTTACCTTTGGTGTGTGTTATTGAATTTCGAAACATTAGAATAATTTCCTAGGCATTTCATCACCACTGGTTTCTACCTTAATTCCATTGTGTTCAGAAAATATATTTATGCATTCAGTCTTTAGAAATGCTGAGATTTATGTATGGGCTACTCCATGTTTTGTTTTTAGTAACACTGGAAAAACGTGTGCTGTTTATTGAATGGTGTGGCTTCTAACGGTCAAATAGCTCAAGTTACTGGCAGTGTTGTTTAAACATTACCAAGTCAGGATCAGTTTTTAGTGCCACAACAAACACCTGAGAGAAACAGTTTAAAATAAGAACAATGTATTTTGGCTCATGGTCTCAGAGACCTCAGTCTGAGACTGACTTGGATCCACTGCTTCCGGTCAGAAGCCAGGAAGAATGTTATGGACATCACAGTATGGTGGCCACAGGAGAGGGAGAAGGGAGGGGAGAGAGGGAGGGCAGAGAGGGAGGGCAGAGAGGGAGGGAAGAGAGGGTGGGGAGAGAGGAGAGAGGGAGAGGCAAGGGACTAGAAAACCCCTTCAAAGGCACATGCCCATGACCTACTTCCTACAACTAGGGCCCAACTACCACACTTGCACCACCTCCCAAGACATTCAAAGATTGAAACCACTGTGGATTAAACCATGATTAAGTGAGAGCCCTTGTGAGCTACAGTCTCTGGAGATGCCCTCGGATGTACCCAGAAGCTTCCTTACTAACCCCCTGGGTGGCTCTCAATCCAATCAGGTTGACAGAGTTAGTCATCACACTTTCACACGCTAATTTCTCAGCGTGCTAGTTGCTGAGACAGAAGTTCTTCAGTAATGAGTAAAGATATGCACAGTCCCTTCAGTTCTGCAAATTTCTGCTTTATTTTGGTTCTTAGGTACAGATTTTTGATTGGTTAAACCTTAAATATAATCATAAAATGCTCCCTTTTTATCTTGAAGTCTACACATTATAGCTCTATCCATTTTCTTGTGCACAGTATTTGCTATATATTTTTTTATATCTTTAACTTTCTACTCTGTATCTTTATGTTTGAAGTATTATTTCTTATAAAGCATATGTAGTTGGGTCTTGCATCTTTAGTCTCTGCTTTTAATTGGGATGGTTAGTCTATTTACTGTTGATGAATTTACTTGTATATTTTATTTTATATATATCAAATTTGAGATCTATCTTTCTATGTTCCTTTTTTTTACTGTTTAAGAATTCCATGTATGCAACTGATGAATTCCCTCCCCTCCTCCTCCTCCCCTGTTCTTTATGCTCTTTGATTTCTTGTTCCATACATCCTGTATCTTGGAGAAGAATTTTGTTTCATTACCTATATTAACACTTTAGTTCTACCTCTCTGAAGTATATTTCTAGAAATTTCTCTAGAGACTATATTCTTTATCTTTAATTCATCACAACTTATACAGAAATATATATCAAAATCAAAAGTATTCTATTTCTACACTAGCCATTCAGAAACTTTATGAAAGTAAATATTGTCATATCTATTTATATCACCTAATCCCTTTTCTCACCTCTGTTGCCAAACACCTGACAAGAAGCAACTTAAGGAAGGCTAGCTCTTAGTGTGAAAAGATGCAGCCCATCTTAGTGTGAAAAGATGCAGCCCATCTTAGTGTGAAAAGATGCAGCCCATCTTAGTGTGAAAAGATGCAGCCCATCTTAGTGTGAAAAGATGCAGCCCATCATGGCTGGAAAGGTGTGGTGGAGGCAGCTCCGTGTCAGCTGCTTGCTCACAGCTCAGCACACCAAAAAGAGAGAGATGACAGAAAGTGTCACCAGGATATAAGCCATAAGGCCCACCCCACTGACCCGCTTCCTTCAGTTAGACTGCACCAAAGACTCCAGCACTCACAAACAGCGCCACCTGCTGGGGACCAAGTGTTCAAACACATGTGCCTGTGGGGGACACTTTCTATCCAAACATGACATTGATGGTCCTCATTCCTGGAACTACTTCCTAGCAGACCAAGTCTCCCTCTGAAATCACTTCTGGCCTGCTCCTAGAAGTCCTCATCTCATGTCCTGATCATTAGAGACATTTCTGTAACTTTGTCTTCTTAAAATGTATTCTATTTTCATTTTGTAGTATCTTCATTGGATACCAAGTATCAACTTGCCAGGTTGTCCATCTGTTTGTCTTTCTTACCATGCTAAAGGTGGAGTATCATTGTCTGCTAACTTCTGCTATATCTGATGAGAAGTCACTTTTATTCTTATAGTTGTTCACCTCTGATTTTTCTTGCCTTTCTGGCTAATTTAAAGATCTTTTTTTAATTTAAAGAAAAATAAGGACTTTTTCTCCTCGGTTTTTGTTTTCATCTATTTGGTCATGGTCCTGTTAGGGATTCTCTATGCTCCTTGAGCTGAGTGGTTTTTGCTTTTTTCCTTAGTTTTACATTTTTTTCCTCATCACTTATTTCTTCTGCCTTTTTCTCTCACCCTCTTCTAGAACTCTGAATACATGTTTGTTAAGCCAATTGCTATTACCTTTCTTGCTTGTGTCCTATTTTGCTTCCTACTGCTATGATAAACACCATGATCCAAAGCAAAAGATTTAGTTTATCTTACAACTCCCTGGTCATAATCCATCACTGGAGGAGTTCAAGACAAGACCTCCAGGCAGGAACCTGGTGGCAAGGACTGAAACAGAGACCATGGAGGAATATTGCTCATTGACTTGCTCAGATAACTTCTTCATACAGCCCAGACCCACATGCCTAGAGAATGTTACCACCCATAGTAGGCTGGACCTTATGTATCAATTAGCAATTAAGAAAACACCCTACAGATATGTCCAAAGGCCAATCTGATGAATTCAATTCCTCAGGTGAGGTTCCCTCTTCCCACAAGTGTCAGACTGACAACCAATATCTGCTATCAAAGTTTGGTTTTACTTTTTGTTTTGGCTTGAATCATTTCCAACAATACTTTCAACTATCAAGTTCCAGTCTCCCAAGTCCACCAACAAAATTTTCATGTTTGTTATTCTGTCTTGTAGTCCCAGTGTTCCTACTTAGCATTTTGTCTAGTTCTCACAACTCTGTTGTTCATATTTGTTACCTGTCTTTTCGTTAGGTCCTTAGATAAATGCCAAAGACCTAATGGACAGGGACTGTGTGTGGCCTCATAATGTCTGACAATTTCAGTATTTAGACCAATTTTCATGTGATTATTTTACATCTTAACAATCATATCACTCTTTGTTTGAGATGCATGTGCTTGGTAAGTTTATACTGAATGTCACATATTACGTTTATAAAATATAGTAGAGAGGAAGCAAAATGCATACTAAAATGGAGAGCTCTATCAGCCTGTTCATGCATAAAGATAAATTATTGTCTGGTTTCTATTGATTGGGATTAGGACTTTGTTGTTTTAGCTTCACTCAGTGGTGATCACAACCCCACATTCACTGTTAAGCCAAGTATGACAGTTTTCCTCCATTTTTCTACACCACTGTGTAGCTTGAATGAGAAATGGCCCCCACAGGCTTTTATGTTTCAACATTTGGTCCCCAGTTGATAGCACTATTGGGGACTGTTATGAAACCTTTGGGAGGTGGAGCCTTGTTGGAGGAAGTATGTCACCAGGCGGTGGGCTTTAAGATTTCATAGTCTAACCTTGCGTCCTTGGCTCTCCTAAGTCCATTACATCAGCAGCTGCTTGCTCTTCAACTCCTCCCCCCCTTCCCTCTTCTCCCTCTACCCTTCCTCCTCCCTCCTCCTCCTCTGGCTGCTCTACCCAAGATAAAACAACCACGGTTCTTGGGAGAGCCAACTGTTCAGTTTTAACTAGATTACCTTGTATCTTCAAGGCTGCTCTGTGATAGATTGTACATGATTTTGTAAACTGCCTTTTTTATTTTTAGTTATTAGGGTAGGAGCATCATTATCTTACAGATTTTACATTCTCGGTGGAGTTCCTCACTAAGTATGAATATCAATAAGTAATCATTTGTCTTTCAGTTTGTAGTCACAGGATTGTTAACGTTTGTCTTTCACACGGTATTTCTTTACTAATGAAACTGAAATGAAATCTTTCCCTTCCCTGAGAGTCTCATAGCGGTTTGCACAGGGAGCTGTTCACAGGATGGAAGGAGTTCGCTCACTATCAACAAAGGAACAAGCTCAGAACTGTAACTCCGAAGCAGTAGCCACTGTGGGCTGGACACATGGCAGACAAAGCAAGCGGTGGTTTATACGAGTGTTATTTTCCCACAACTCAGCGAACCACACGCTGGCTATGAGGTGAGGAAATTCATGCTTGGAGAAGTGAAATGACTTGCCTAAGCCACAGGGCTACTACCTGGGCAGTGGAAGACTTGACCCCAAGCAGTCTTGAAACTACACTCAACTTACATGTCTTAGGGAGGTGGGTGGGCATTTCAATTTCCTTAATCTGAGTTGTCTTCCAGTGATGATCAGACATCTAAATTTGGACTGGCTTATGTGTCTCTCCATGTATCCAAGGTCTGAGCAACACATGCACCCCCGTCCCCACACACCCCATTCCCATCCCCACATGCTTCTTTCATGAGGAATGTCACCTCCCATATTTTGTGTCCCCAGGTGTTCTGACATTATTCTGTACTTAAGAAGAAGCCTCTCCCCAGGGTATCCACCAGACTTGGGAGCAAGGCTGGATAAGGGTACACAGTGGGGAAGCCATGATATGCCTGGAAGCAGGGCCAGGATGAAGGCAAGAAAAAAGGCTGACTTTGCAGAGAAGCTCCACGTGTGCCCTGTCTGCAGGAGAGCTGCTATACACTACGGGTCGTCAGCTAATAGATCTGAAGAACAAGCCTGTGGTCTTAAGAGAAACGTCACCCTACTCCACTTGGAATTCAGCAGCAGTTCTTCCCAGATGCGTGGCCTCAAATGGAGCTTGGCCTTCTTAAAACAACCCTAATCGTTCAAAGCAAGATTCTCCTCAATCATTTGTAAAAAGACAAACATTGCTAGGCGGGGACCAGAGATCAAACGCACCTAAAACTCTGCTATCAGTGGGCAGCTTCTTCCTGAGTCTGGGAATGCGCCTGGTGCTGCTTCCTGGTAGGCCTGGCCATCCCTTCACTGTGTACCTGGGATCCTGGAAGAGAAGAAATGTGTTTTTACTTACACAAGTCTCTATCTCAGGCAGATGGATGGGATGATAACCAACAGTCCAATCAGCTCCTGCTCCGATGGCTGCCACAGGCGATTTCGGAATTCATCCCTGGGACGGCTGCGGTTGCTTTCTTTAAAGAGGGATCAAACATTGAAACGCATCCAAGAGCTCTGCTGTGTAACCCGAGAGCAGATGATGTTCATTAGTAGGAAAGGCACAAGTTTCTTCCCTTATGTTCTTAAGATTCCCTCAACATTCCTCAGGGAGAAGTGGGCCCCTTGGATGTAAGCACTCCTTTTACAGGACGGCTTGTGCCATAGGCTAGCCCTTCCAGGATTAAAATTTAGGTCACATGAATAGAAGTTCACCTCTAGGAACAAGAAAAAACAAGGCTTTTCTTGCTTCCATTTGGGTAACCTGCCAAGGAACAGTGTATTCTGGGCTCTTATGGTTAAGGTGGGCTTGTAACACTTAGAGAGAGGCCATTGTTGAGTGCTAAAGATGAAGGGGTTGGGGTCTAGGACACTTGACATGCCATAGGGCCATGTGTACATACCTGCTTGTGTGCTTATTTTTGCTCTGCTAACAGGCACCCTTACCCTCATGCTCTCCTCACGGAATTCTCATTTTTTTTTTTTTTTTTTTTTTTTTTTTTTTTTTTTTTTTTTGGTTTTTCGAGACAGGGTTTCTCTGTGTAGCTTTGCGCCTTTCCTGGAACTCGCTTTGGAGACCAGGCTGGCCTCGAACTCACAGAGATCCGCCTGGCTCTGCCTCCCGAGTGCTGGGATTAAAGGCGTGCGCCACCACCGCCCGGCGTGCGCCACCACCGCCCGGCGGAATTCTCATGTCACATGTTGATATCTCAGCTATACTATTAATCTCCTGAGGTCAGACTAGAGGTTACCACATAGCACCCAACATGCTCAGGAAATATTTGTTGAATGAATCAATAAATAAGTGGACAATCAAAAGGGCAACCCTGGGCGGGGGAGGGGACCCCTGATGCCAGCGTCCGCCCACCCTATCTCCACGGGGTGAAGGGACCATCCCACCCCTTCACTGATGTAAGCAATGAAATTTCAACTCCCAGTGGGATACCAGGGGCTGGAGGATCAAACACTTTATGGGCCTGCTAGCGAGGCAGGTTCACAAACAGAACTCCTAATAACAAGGCAGAAACAGTGGGCTGTGACCCTGTGGGGCATGGATGAACTGTTCAGCGGCCTCTACCTCTGCTTCCTTTGCCTGTCACATGCCTGTTCTTGCTTCCTGTCTTTTACTGTGGTAAAGCACTCTGTCAAAAAGCAACTGGTGGAGGAAAGGATTTATTTGGCTCATTTCAAGCCACAGTTTGTCACTGAGGGGAATCAGGGTAGAAACTCAAGCAGGAGCAAAGTAGAAACCATGGAGGAACAGTGCTTGCTGGCTAGGTCTCTGACTTTCTCACAGGCTTATCCTTGGATAGCTTTTATGTTCCCAGGACCACCTGCCAGGGAATGGTGCTGCCAACAGGGGGCTGAGCCATCCTATGCCGACTATCCATCAAGACAATCCCCACAGACACGCCCACAGGTCTAGGTCAAGCAGCTTTCCCATTAGGATTCCCCTCTAAGGCAACTCCAGTCTGCGACGTCGTCGTCAACAGTTAACACTAACTGGGACAATGGCTAAGCTATGACAAGTTCACAGTGTGGCCAGAAACATCAACTGGGATGCTGTTGTGAAGAGCTCGTTACATGGGCCCAGGGCTCTGACAGGGAGGTGGAGGGGCAAACGGCAATGGAAAGAAACTGCATTCTAGGTGCTGGGAACACTCCAGCCTAAAACACAAGGTGTGTGGGCCTAAGGAGCTGGCTAGACCAAGGGGGCTGAAGCTCTCACAATAAGGCAGCCGGCCTGGATCTCTGGGCCAGCACCATGTCCTCAACAAAGAGACTAGTCCTGGAAATGAGGTTGGGGGAGAACTGGGGAGGCCTGTGCAGGGTCTGTCCATTGGAACGGCAGGACAAGGCCACTGTCACTACGTTACTAATACAGCACCGCTGACACACCTAGCCGCTCATAAGTGGTCTTCCTCTTGCTGGCTGCTAGGAGGCTCAGAGTGTGACTACAGCCTTACTCCACCAGGCGCCTGGACTCACAGCCTTTATTGCACAGCAGGCAGGATGCATGGCGGCCTGACACTGTCATTCACCACTGTGCCCACAGACCTACCGATGGACATGTGTGGATTACTCCCGTGACAGGCAGCCCTTGACTTTTCCCTTGCCCCAGTGTTTTCTTATTTAATGTCTGTCCTACCATAGTGTATATAGTTCTAAAAGCACTTCTGATTCTCTTTTGTACAAAACGGCACAAATTTTTTTTTTTTTTTTTTTTTTTTGGTTTTTCGAGACAGGGTTTCTCTGTGTAGCTTTGCGCCTTTCCTGGAACTCGCTTTGGAGACCAGGCTGGCCTCGAATTCACAGAGATCCGCCTGGCTCTGCCTCCCGAGTGCTGGGATTAAAGGCGTGCGCCACCACCGCCTGGCAAAACGGCACAAATTTAAAGAGAAAGAGGGCACCGCTGAAGAAGGAGTCACGGAAGCAGCATTCCCACGCTTCAGAAGCAGAACCGCTCTCCTGACCTTTCCTGCCCCATGCACTGCTGTGGGATGGTCTGTATGTCAAATGTGTTGTTGCTGATTAGTCAATGAATAAATCACTGATTGGCAGTGGCCAGGCAGAAAGTATAGGCGGGACTAACAGAGAGAAAAATTGAGAGAACAGGAAGCTGGAGAGGGAGACACTGCCAGCTGCCATCAGGACAAGGAAGATGTAAAGTACCGGTAAGCCACAAGCCACGTGGCAAGGTATAGATTAATAGAAATGGATTAATTTAAGCTGTAAGAACAGTTAACAAGAAGCCTGCCACGACCATACAGTTTAAAACCAATATAAGTGTCTGTGTTTACTTGATCGGGTTTGAGCGGCTTGGGACTGGCGGGTGAGAGAGATTTGTCCTGACTGTGGGCCAGGCAGGAAAACTCTAGCAACAATGCACCTCCAGGAAGATGCTGGTGGTGAAGTTCAGGTTTGTCCTTAGGAGGCCTTGCTACCAGGCTGCTCCCCAGATTGTGCTACCTCAGGCCCCATGGAGAGGTTGCCTAGCAACACCTACCGCTTCATGCCTCTAAATCCCTGTGTTCCCTGACCCTGGTCAGCAGTCTGCCCTCCCACACCACTCTCCCTAGAACAGGGCTGAGCTTCCCACCTGGGCAGGTGGAGGCGGGGCCCGGACCTTGCTTTTCTCCTGACTGAGAGTACAGCGCAGAGGCAGATACCTTCAAGCTTCCAGAGCTGCTCGATATGTGCCGGGGGCGGGGGGGGGGGGGGGACGACGACACAGTAGAGAAGAAAAGGGAGAAAAGGAAGAGACGGTAGTTGAAGCTTAAAACCCAAACAGCCATTCCAGCACATGCTTCCTTAGAGACTTCAGCTCTTGTCAGGTAATGTTTCATCCAGAGGGGTCAGAAACATGCCAGCAAGTAAATAAACGAAGTTGTACTTAAGATGGTGTCTAAACAGTAGGAAAATAAACATGGTGTTCTAAAACAAGACAGTGTTAGCCTATCTATGGAAGCGAAGAGACTAGGTGCTGTGGGAGTGAGGACAGCTTTGTGATACCGCAGATTTCATCTGAACCTCAGGAAGCGCTAGAAGGATGGAGGGGTGGGGAGGGCTGGGGGTAAGGGCTGGGGTTGGAGGGGGGCTGGGGGTGGGAGTGGGCTGGGGGTGGAGGGGGACTGGGGGCAGAGGGGGGCTGAGGTAGAGAGGGGCTGGGTGTGGGAGTGGGGCTGGGTGAGGGGACCCCAATCACATAGAGCTGCCCCAGGGGTAGACAAGCTCCTGCGCCTTTCTTCTGGTGTAAGAACTTTGCCAGGCTACCACCTTGCTGCCGGGACCCCAGATTCACCCTGCCCCATCGGGTGCTCTCCAGCTCAATGTAGACATCCTCAGAGGCATCAAAAGGACAGTGTCCCTCCTCCTGTCACCTGGAGAGCAGGATGTTCTTTCTTGTGCTGAGCCTAAAGCTAGCCAACGCCATCTGGCCGCTGTCTCCAAGCCAAAAGTTCAAACTCCAAACATCACATACATAGAAAGCGAGAGTCATTTTAGCTCTTTATGACGAAATCTATTTTCAATAATTAAATGAAGAACAGACCAGGAGAAAAGGTCAAATCAAACTCTGGAGCTTTGCTGTCCAGCAGAGCTGCCACTAGTCACTTAGGTCTGATTACATTAAAATTTAATTAATCTTAAGTGGAATTTAAAAATTAAGCCCTTCAGTTCACCAGCTACATAGTGACTATTTCAAAAACTGAAGCGACATACGTGGCTAGTGGTTATCATGCCAGACACTTAAAGTTTCTGCTGGCTGGACAATACAATGCTGAAACATTCCATGAATGGGCTGGGGTCACAGTGTTCTGCCCCCAGATGATAAAGTCTAGTGGCAGGCCCTGTTGGATGCCCATGTGTCCCCAGCTATCATCCTAACCTGGCCAAGTCTCCAGTCTGAGAACAAGTCTACAGCCAAGGCACAAGCTGGACTTGTCTCAGGATTAGTTTCCTCACTCTGAAGTGAGAAGGAACATTATGACCCATCTCTCTGAAGAAAAAAATATCCCCATGCTGCTTTGGGGCATAGTGAATGGACTGCCCCATCTCCCCCAACAAAAAGTATACTTACTCAGGGCTTGTGAATGTGAACTTATTTAGAAACAATTCTTTACAGAAGTAGTTCAGTGAAAGCTGAACTATGAGATCCAGACCATGCTGATGTATACAGTTGTCCCAGGTCTTGAGAACTAGACCATGCTGATGTATATACAGTTGTCCCAGGTCTTGAGAGTTAGACTATGCTGATGTATACAGTTGTCCCTGGTCTTGAGAGCTAGACCATGCTGATGTATACAGTTGTCCCAGGTCTTGAGAGTTAGA